CCCCCCCCCGCTTTTTATACTATCTCAAAGGTACAGTTAAGCTCATGCAAAATAGATTAGGTATTCATTTGGATTTCTTGTCATGGCATAGATTGCTAGCTGATCACCAAATTCTTTTGTCATCTCTGGGCACACAGACTACATTTCCCAGCTTTATCTTAGGAGGTATTTTTTATTGGGTAGTAAGAGAAGACCTTACAGTCCTAGGAGATGTATTTAAGCTGAGATCTGAACAACATAAAGGAGCCAGCCAAAAGATGATCTGGAGGCGGAACATTCCAGGAAGAGGAAAGAGCTAGCACAAAGCCCACAACATAGAAATAGACTTGGTGTGTTTGAGGCCCAGAACAAAAGCCAGGGAGGCTAGAGTGAAAGGAACAACAGGAGGAGTAGTATAACATGGGGCTAAATCTCATGAAGCCTTGTAGGCCAGAGTTAGGGATTTGGCTTTCATTCTGTGTCAGATACTGTATCCATTCCTATTCTCTAATGTCTGTTTTATAAAGATCATTGTAAATACTGTTTCAAGACTGGCTTATAGAGTGGTAAGGGTAAAAGGAAGGAGTCCAGTGACTCCAATAACTTCAGGGTGTTGTGAAATACGTGTGCTGTGGTAGATATGAGCAGTGATGTAAAGAAAGGAGTCAAGGAAGATTTGTAGGATTTTCACTTAATAGATTTATGGGTATTTGCCATTTTTCTGAAATAGGAAAGACTGGAGGTAAGTATGTTTTGAAGAAAATGTTTAGGAGTTGCTGCTTTGTACATGGAGCCCTGGAGGCGCAGTGGTTAAGAGCTACACCTTGTAACCAAAAGGTCAGCAGTTCAAATCCACCAGCTGCTCCTTGGAAACCCTATTGGGCAGTTCTACTCTGTCCTGTAGGGTCGTTATGAACATAAAACTTGAGATCACTATTAGATATTAAAGGGAAGATTTCAAGTTCCTTGTAACTTAGAGAAGATGTCTTGGCAAGGGATATGAATTTGAATTTGGGAGTCACCAGATTATTTGTTGTTGTTAGTTGCTATTGAGTCGATTCCGACTCATGGCGACCCCATATGTGCAGAGTTATTTGCTACATAGGGTTTTCAAGGCTGTTCAAAGTATTTTTTATGTAATTTCAGAGGTTATAGTTTAGTCTTAGTGAGAAAATGTCAGTTTACAAAATTTATTCTTTTCATTTAATAGGAAATTTGCTGAATTGCTTGCTGTAATCTACTTGACATCTTGTCTCCTGCTGCTTCCTTATATAAATCTCCATTTCAGCCAAACTGGCATTTCTATCCCCAGAATATGCCTTGGATCATGTTATTGCCTGAAGCATAAAGTTATCAGAAGCGTTCTTAGTCATGCTGGAAGCCTTTGGGAAAGTTTAAAAATCTCTTTGTCTTATATATAATATTAGTGAGCCAGTTGTAGTCATTGAAAAGATTCTGTTTTGTGAAGCCTGATGTATTATGACTTAAATATAAAAATTAAAGCAGCAAAAATAGATTTTTCTTTACATATTATGGGGGGTAACATTATTTCTTTAATTTCTGATCTGAATCTTGCTATCGACGTTAAGAGATTTCAGAACTACCAGAGATCTTTGTGAGGAAAGCCACTGTAATGACTTTTCTGAATGTTCCTGGGCCTGAAATACGATGTGCTCTGCTCCACTTAGGAGCTGAGATGGGACACCAGGCCCTTAGTGTCAGTTGAATCAGTATGTGATGTCCAGGAGGTCCACAGCAGTATAAAACCCACTGAATTGGGTTTCCCAAAATAAATGTATGCGTCTTTTTTAATTGAATGCATCTGCTTTGTGATGACCAGGCCTTTGCTCATTTTAACTTTCACCTTAAGAGTCCTATATTTAACCAAATCATGCTGATAATCTGTTTTCCTTAAGTTTGTTTTATTCATCTTATCTTTTCTTTTTAAAAGTGTATTATCTCTCCTCCTCTTTTAGCTTTATACGCTTTTTAAAATCATCGTGTAATTTTTATTTTAAAAAAACAACATTTTACTCTGTTCAGCTCATCGTAATCTGTACCAATATGTCATCTCTGTTGGAAGAGAACTTTGAGCATTCTCTGCAGTGTGAGGACTCAGGATGGTCCCAGCGCTCGGATTCAGTCAGCTTTCTCCATTCCCACTCTTACCTGTAAATGCAGTAAAGATTATTACCCGTTCCTTGCCAAAACAAGTTATTTTTTTTTAACTTATGCCTTTATGCTTTTACTTCTCCTCCTGAATATTGCCTACTGTATTTTTATGCAAATAATGCGTGCCTTCTACATTTGTTTGCCAACCGTGCCCTCTCCCCGCAAGATACTTTCATAAACGCTGCTGTAAAAAAAAAAATTAGCATAAGTGCTCTTATGAAAATACCTCACTGGGGGGAGGGCATGGTTGGGAAACAAATGTAGAAGCCACGTGTTACTTGCGTAAAAATGTTGCTTCTTAGTGAATTGTTTCTCAGTTTTCCAGATGAGCTCAAAATTTACCTTCAAGTTTGACTCTTACTCCAAAACAGAATTTATTACTCTCTGAGCTATATTTTCGTGGCACTTCTATTCATTTCTCTGTATTGGTACTCATTATGTGAGGTATTTAATGCTTTCTGTTTTTGTATCTCTTGTAATTACTCAAGGTAAGGAGTCGTTCCCATTCTTCTTTGAAGTCTAATATGCTTTGTGGCCTGTAGTAGTTTCAAAAATTAATATTAGTTCAATTGAATTTTTAGTGAAAGGGTAATGACAGTTTTTACAAAAAGAAAGAATTAGTATCATATTAAGTGATTCTATATACACTTGCAATTCTTGATGTTTGGATGATACAAAGAACCAGGAAAACATGGTTCTGTATATCTTTGAGAAAATTTCTTATGTGATGATTTTTTTTGATCCTGGTTTCAGAGTTGAGAGAAAAGAGAATGTGCCGTATTTCCTTAGCATGTGTCCTGTCATTACACTAATTTAAGCCACTTTTAGGATATTGTCTGCAGTTTGAATAGTTGGATTTGTGTGTCCATTTCTTATGCCCAATAACTTTTATTTTTCTTTTTGACTGGTTAGATGTAATTTGGAGAATGTATCACATTTGTTTTGTTTCTGTTTGTCTTTCAAAATGATTGTGAATATAGAATTCTTACAATAATGAAGGAATAGGATCAGAAAATGTTTGCTAAAAGTAGCTATAATTTAGCCAACCCATTACTGTTGAGTAGATTCTGACTTATGGTGACTCCATGTGTTACAGAACGTAGAACTGCTCCATAGGGTTTTCTTGGCTGTAATCTTTATGGAAGCAGTTCTGTAGTACAGCTGTGTGGGCTTGAACCTCTAATCTTTAGTTTAGAAGCCAATCACAGACTGCTGTGCCACCCAGGGACTAGAATAGGCAAATATATAGAGACCAAAGTTAATTAGTGGTTACTAGGGGGTAGGGATGTATTTCATTGTTTAGGAAGCGTTGAGTTTCTATTTATGGTGATAGAAATTTGCAACAGATACTGGTGATGGTTGCACAACATGATTAACGTAATTGATGTCACTAAATTATACAAGTGAAAAACATTAAATTGGCATTTGTTGTGTTATATATATTTTTACAACAGTAAGAAAAGGGGGGTTACTCTAATCAGTCTTGTTTATATTTTGCACATCTTGTATGTTTTAGCCAAGCTAGTCTTTATGGGAAGCGTAGAAGTCAGAAAGAGGAAGAAGAGCAAGAAGATCTTACCAAGGACATGGAAGACCCAACACCTGTACCCAACATAGAGGAGGTGGTACTTCCCAAAAATGGTTTGTATTCTTCCAGTTATACATGTCTTATATTGTTAGACATGATTTAATCATTCTCAGCAATGCCATGGGATGGTTCAGTTTTGTGTTCTGGGTCCACAGTTCTCAGCTTTCGAGTATGAATAGATTTCTACCTTTTAAGGTTAACTTTTAAGAAACTCCCCCATTCCCAGTCTTTTGGTGCATTTTTGTTATTTGTTATTGTAAAAACCCAATGTGACTGAAAGGTTTCCTAAATTTAGTAACACTTTAAAATTAATGTATTGTTTTTTAAATCCTAGCAAAATCAATATACTTGTGAAAAAGGAGCATACATATCTGTGTACAGTTCCACTTATTAAATCTCTGTCATTGTTTTATGTGATTGTAAATTTGAAGACCTCTGGTAATGAGTTTTGTCAGTTAAGTGTGACAAATCTGAATTACTGGTGATGCAACTTCTGGGCTAACTTCTACTCATGGTAGTGAGGCTCAAAGTATACTTTAAATATTCATTAAAATTTTTTTGTTGGTCCTTAAAAATGTTTGTGCCCTCAGTGAGCCAGTGATTAAATTTTTTAAAAATAAGCTCTAACGCACTCTAAAGGGAAAAGAAATATGACAGGCATCTCATTTATCCCCTGTCCCCTGTTCTAGGGTAACTCAGACATAAGAGACTACGAATATCACATGGTGAAGTACGGTGCTTATATTAATCATCCATCTTTACAATGCAGAATTTCACTTTTAAAATTTGTAGCCTACTGTTCTACCCCCCAGTTTGGTGAGTGGTGCCTGGGGTCTTAGTAGATTTTGAGCTGCCATCCAAGGTAAAACAAATGATCTCTTTTCAACTGGAGCAGCAGAAGAAGCAGATCCAGGAATCAGAGAAGGAACTGGATTGCAGGTCTAGATGCGTATATGAACTGGTGCCTGGCTACCATGACTCAATGTTTTGATCAAGGATTCAATAAATGAATTCTGATCAAAAGAGGGAAGGAAAAGTGGAACAGAATTCCGAGTTCTTATGGAATCCAGACTTACTGGACCCATTGAGACTGGTGGAACTCCCCCGTCCCTTTTGCTGTGAGAAAATATTTAAACCTTGAGTTGAAAGTATTCCCTCAAGTCATCTTTAAACTAGACAACAGCTTAGCTAAATTAGTAAAAAATGTTCACCTTTAGCATTGTGCTCCTTTAATGAATTATTTATATGAGATCAAATTGACAGTAGTAACTCTAAAGCGTAGACGAGAAGTTTCGGGGCTAGTAAATCTAAGTCGGTTGTGGTGAAACAGTATGGGTGGAGAGAGTGACAGTGCTGACACAAAGTGAGGAGTGTGTGCAGTGTCATTGAGATGCACAGGTAGAGATGGCTGGATGGGTGTATATCCCGCTGTATGTATTCTCACGAAAAATTTAAAAAATTCTGTAGTCTAGAAACTAAGTCATTAGAGTTTATAATGGTTTTTTTTTTTTTTTTTTAAGTCTGCTAAAATGAATTAGGAAAAATTCGAACTTCATCTGGTTATTAGCAGTGAAATTATGGTTTTTTCAAAACATAGTCTAAGATTTAGATTGCTGTGTAGACTAAGCATATGACTGAAATCCATACGGAATTTTAAAGAACCCTGTATAGCCAAAACAATATTAAAAAATAAAAACAAAGTTGGAGGATTCATACTTGTCAGTTTTAAAACTTACCACAAAGCCACCGTAATCAAAATAGTGTGGTACTTTCAAAAGGGTAGACATACATACCAGTGGACTATAGAACAGAGAGTCCAGAAATAAATTCTCTCATAGATAGGTGATTTTCGACAAGGTGCCAAGTCCATTTAATGAGGAAAGAACAGTTTCTCTTCCACAAATGGTACTGGGAAATCTGGATATCTGCATGCAAAAGAAAGAAGTTGGACTCTGAAACTTACACCATATACAAAAATTAAAGTGGGTGAAAGACATAAATCTAAGAGCTAAAACTAAGACCTCTTAGAAGAAAACATAGAGGAAAGCTTTATGACCTTGGATGTGGCAACGGATTCTTAGATATGACACCAAAAGCATATGGCAGTGTGCTTCTGTGCCTTACACACAGGCATGGGATAATGGAGCATTGAGAACACGCATGCGCATGCGCATGTCCATGTAATTGCAAAATTAGCTGAATAAATACATACATAGGTGGAAAAACTTAGGCACACGTGGACTAGATTTCACTAGATACAGCAAGATAGCTCTCCAGAATTGCTGCATCTGTTAACACTCCTGTACCTATTTCTCCACATCCTCCTTAACACTTGGTATTATTCCTATCAAATGAATGTACGCAGATTGACAGTAAAAAGAAAAAAAAATTAAGCGAAGTTGAGCCTTATTTTCATTTTCCCCATTCTTTGATTTGCTTGTTTTTATTCTTTGCTTGTCTATTGTGGGGTTTTTGTTTTTGTTTTTTTACTTTTTCTGGTTTATTTATAAGGTTTTATTAATCTTGTTTGAATTATAGAGATTACGGATGTTTTCTCGTAGCCTGTGTTTCGCCTGGTTGAGTAGCAATCTGTAATTTGGTATCAGGCACAGTGGTGGTTCAGTGGTAGAATTCTTGCCTTCCATGCGGGAGACCTGGGTGCAGTTTTTGGCCAGTGCACCTTAGCACTGCCACCGTCCATCTGCCGATGGAGGCTTGCATGTCGCTATGGTGCTGAACGGATTTCAGCAGGGCTACCAGATTAAGACAGACTGTGAAGAAATACCTGACTATCTACTTCTGAAAAATCAGCCAACAAAAACCCTGTGGATCACAACGTTCTGATCCCATTGTGCATGGGGTTGCCGTGAGATGGGGGCCTACTCTGTAACAACTAACAATAATGACAGTTTTGATATAATAAAATTTATCATTTTTCCTCCACTATTTGTACTCTTTTGATCTCTTACAATGTCACAGATACTCAAATTTTTTTCTATTAACTTTATCCTGACATCTGGATCTTTTAATCCATTTAGCTTTTATTTTTTTGTATGATGTAAAGACAGGTTTGATATCATAGTTCTCCATATAAATTTTAGAAACAATTTAATGAATTTCAGAAACTATCTTGCTGGGATATGATCAAAATTGCACTGAATTCATAGATTAGTTTTCGGGATAACTGCATCATTTATTATGTTAACTTTTTCCCTTCATAAACGTCGTTATTTTTCTCCATATATAGCTATTTGAGTATTTTCTGCTGTATTGATTCCTAGATAAATTTATAGATGCCTAGAGAAACTTATTCCTAGATAAATCATTTGTTATTTTTGCTGTCTTTTTCTTCCAATTAAAAAAAGTTATTATTTGCATCGGTCCAAAGAGGATGTTACCATTTTATATGCCCACCAACATAGTATGAGAGCCCCTAGTTGCTCCATATTCTTTCCAAAATTTTGTACTGTCAGTCTCTTTAATTTTGGCCATTTTAGTGAGCATGAGTGATAACTGTTGTTTGGTTGTAATTTGTATTTCCTTACTGACTAAACACATTTTTCTTGTGCTTATTGGCTATTCATATGTCTGTCGTGAAGTGTATGTTGCAGTGTTTTGCTCATTTTTTACTTGGATTGTTTGTCTTTTTATTTTTAGTTAAAGAGTCTTACATAATTATGAGCATTTTGTAAGATATATGTATTGTGACTATTTTCTTCCAGTCTGTGTATTGCCTTTTCATTTTCTTAACATAGTCCTTTTTGGGAGTGGAAAGTCTTAATTTTGATTAAATGCAATCAGTCTTCTATCATCAGTGCTGCTTATGTCCTACCAGATTTTTGCCTACACTAGGCTTATAAACATGTTTTTCTGTTTTCTTCTAGAAGGTTTATACATTTGTTTTTACATTAGGTCTGTGATCCCACTTGAAATTTTTTTAGTATGTTTTTAGATACAGGTATGCATGTTTATTTTGTTCACATTAATATTTAGTTTTTTTTGCATACCGTTTCCTGAAAAGGCTTTGCTTTCCTCATCTAATTATCTTGATGCCTTTGTTTAAAATCGTTGTGTGGGTCTATTTCTAGACTCTTTTCTGTTTTACTAATCTGTGTATATCCTTGTGACAATACTGCAGTGCCTTGATTACTGTATAGCTTTTTTAGTGAGTATTGAAATTAGGTAGTGAAAGTCCTCCTACTTCGTTCAAGATTGCTTTGGCTATTCTAAGTCCTTAGCTTTTTAATGTAAATTTAGAACTAGATTTTCTTTACACAGGAAAAGCGTACTGTGATTTTTATTGGAATGGTATTATTTCTAAACATGAATTTGAGGGAAGAATTGACTTTTTAAAAAAAATTTTTTATTGTACTTTAGATGAAAGTTTAAGAGCAAACTAGCTTCTCGTCAAACAGTTAATACACATATTGTTTCGTGACATTGGTTGCCAACCCCAAGACATGTCGACACTCTCCCCTTCTTGACCTTTGGTTCCCCATTACCACCTTTTCTGTCTCCTCCTGCCTTCTTGTCCTTGCTCCTGGGCCGGTGTGCCCGTTTAGTCTTGTTTTGTTTTATGGGCCTGTCTAATCTTTGACTGAAGGGTGAACCTCAGGAGTGAACAACTGCCTTTTTATTGGCATCTTACATTGGACAGGACTTCCATTTCTATGTTTAGTTGCAGTTTAGATAGCAGGCATTCTTGTGAAAAGGTTCTCTCTTATACATTTAAAGTTTATCTATTGAGAATGATACTTATTTTAATGTTTTGTAGATAGTCTTTATTGAGTTAAGGTAGCCTTATCCATACTTAGGGTGTTTTGTTTGCTTCAAATTGCAAATAAACTGTTACATTTATTAAATCTGAAATAATTTTTAAGTTTTTCTCTTTAAATCCATATATTTGGTCAATAGCATCAGTAGGCATTATATTCTTTTTGATATGCTCTAAATATTGATAGGTTAATATTTTATTTTGCAATCTTAACATCTCTGTTCATAAGTGCATTTGGCCTGTAACTTTTTTTTGTACACTACTTGCCTGATTTGTTATCCAAGGAATACTAGCCTCATAAATGTAATCAGTGTGTTTCCTTCATTTTCTCTTTTCTTAAAAGAATTATATAATACGAGAATGTTGTGTTCCTGCAGTAAAGTCTAAATAAAACAGTCTGCTTCTTGAATGAGAAAATACGATGCCAGTAGTTCTGAAAAATTGAATTAGAATGAGTGAATTTTTGATAAATATGGAACACTTGTTCTGAAGAGATAGAAAATCTGAGTCTATATACATAAATTTATAAACCTAATATTTATGACTTCTGTAAATATGTGTATGAAGTCTAGAGCAAACAAAAAGGTGGAAGATTTTCCAACTTCATGTTGAGGTTAGTGTCACCCTGATACCAAAGCCATTATACAATAGAAGTGTACTTAACCTGTAGAATAACTACAGATTTTTATCAAAACTAAATTTAGTGTATGATGAATAAAGACATTACAACTTTAACAAACTTAAAGATAGTTCAGCTTTCGGAAATCAGTTTACATGGTTGTTAATTAATTGATGTAATACCAAAATAAATTTGTATCAATTGATTCCAGTAATGATTTTTGAAAAATATATTGATACCGAATAAACAAGAATAAAATAAAACTTCCTTAACATTGAAAAGGATATTTAATAGAAATCTAAGTTGTGAAAACATTGAAGTAAGAAAGAAGACAAGAATTTCTACATCTAGCACAATTGTGAATTTTTTTCTATTCTATATCCTCTTGTACTTACTAGAATTATTCTAAAAATGGATTATGATGTGAAATTGAAATAAGGTAGAAATACTTAGTAGTAAGAATAAAAAATGTAACTCTTTGCAGACCATGTCATTGTGTTTTCAACTATTAAAACCTAAAAAAAATCTATAGCTGTCTCTTAAGTCAGTGAGGAAATGTAATGGGAAATAAATCAGATTCATAGTGGGAGGTAAAACTATAGAATTCCTTGGGGTAGAATTAGGAAGTGTAATGACAGTGAATAATATAAAATGTTCTGAGTAACATAAAAGAACACCTAAGTAAATTCTTCCAGAATGACAGTATTAAAGGGTGGCTGGCAGTACTTGCTTGCTCAGTAAATCAGTATAATTTAATTAAATAATTCTAATAGAATTACTGGAATTTGACAAACATACTTTTAAGTTGATATGGAAGATAAAATTCACAAAAATAATCAAAATATTGTTTTAAAATGAAAAACCTATTAAGGTGGTGGTAGTCCTAACAAGTAGTTCTAACAAGTAACTACATAAACTCTAAAGTTATAATAATAACATTAGTGTAGTTTTGGCACAATAGTAACTGAGTCAATATGGAATAGAAAAACCAGTTAAGAAATAGACCCATGATACTCACTTTGGCAGCACATGTACTCAGATATGCTACAGAGAAGATTAGCAAGGATGGCACACAAATTCCTGAGGGCTTCCAAGTGTTTTGTACGTGTAGAAACGGTTGAATTGGTGTATGTTTTGCTGTGTGTATTCTCAATAACAATAACAAAATTAAAAAAATAGACCCATGTTTGTTTATGAATTTTATTTAAGGTAAATTTAACATTGCAGATTAGGGGGAAAAATTGAACTGGTCCATAAATACTTTTGGTAAAATTTAGTTCTCCTCTCTATCAAATTTAAGAATTTTAAACTTCAGGTGGATTAAAGTGCTAAATATAAAAAACAAAACCATACAGGTAAACTTTCAAGTATTACCACACTTTAAACAAGTGTTAGACTGGGAGAAAATTTTGAACAACAAAGGATTAGAATCCTGAGTATGTATAAAAAAATTATTAAACCCATAGAGTAAAGGGCAGAGTATTATGTATCAGCAGTTCATTGACTGTACAGAGCCAATAAGTGTGAAAAGATGCTAAGGCTCACTTAACCCAGGAAATGGAAATCATTAAAATATTGTTTTCATCCATCAGATTTTCAAAACTTAGAAAATTGATACTCTCAGTTACTATTGTTGAAAATGTAAATTGATGAAGCTGCTTAACACAATTGGGCTGTATCTATTAAATATTAAAATGTAGATATTCAGTAGCAATTTTAATTTTCATAATGCATCTTAAAAAATAATTACATGTATGCACAAAGATAAATGTTAAAGAATATCGATTACAGAATAGTGAAAAGTTCAAAATCAACTTAATTTTCCTTCAACATAGGACTAGTTAACTTATGGTCCACCTGTGGACCTATTATAAATGAAAGAGATGTAATATAACTAAAATTCCTTACAAGGAAAGACCACAAAAGCGCACTGTTAACATGAGGAAGGAATAAGCACAGCATGGATAACATTTATATGAGGTTTTAAAACCCTGAGTTTATGTTTTGAAGTCTAAGCAGATGCATGAAAGGTATCTGTTCTCCTTCAATTTTTAATATATGAATTAATGAATGACATAGAAGTGGAAATCAAGAAATGCATAAACTATTAATAAATGCTTTTGGAGAGGGGTTAAGAGGTTCTTCTCACATTTTGCTTTGAATATTTCTATTTTTTTATGATGAAATATATATTGCTCCTTGTGTAATATATTACAAAATTTTATCTGTCAATTGTTGATGTTTTGAAACTGAGCTTGTGGTTTTTATGTGAAGGTGAATACTGAATGACTTTGGAGTTGCAATGAGATGCATGTGTTTTTTAGTCATGTCCTGTGATTCTTTGTTTTTTTTCTTTCAGTAAACCCAAAGAAAGATAGTGAAAATACACCTGTGAAAGGAGGAACTGTCGCAGATCTAGGTAAAAACCAAAAAACCTACATATCGTTCTGTGTTCTTTTCTCTCTCAACTGTTTCAACCTCCCTGATATTCCTTTCTATACTCAGAAATATTGCTTTTAGTTCCTGTGATTATTAGAACAGAACATTGAGTATGGCTAGCTTTAACACAGTGTTCCCCTGTTATGTGTAAGATTTTCACTGGCCAGTTTTTTTTTTCAGAAGTAGATCACCAGGTCCTTCTTCCTACTCTGTCCTAGCCTGGAAGCTCTGCTGAAATCTGTCCACCATAGGTGACCCTGCTGGTATTTGCAATACAGGTAGCATAGCTTCCAGCATCACAGCAACCTGCAAGCCACCACAGTATGACAAACTGACAGATGAGTGGTGACTGTACTCATGGACCTCCCTGGATGGAATACACAGGAATCAAATTGACTATATCTGTGGAAAGTGATGATGGAGAAGCTCAATATCATCAGTCAGAACGAGGCCAGGGGATGCTGCAGAACAGACCATCAATTGCTCATATGCAGGTTCAAGTTGAAGCTGAAGAAAATTAAAACAAGTTCAGAAGAGCAAAGTACAACCTTGAGTACATCCCACCTGAATTTAGAGACCATGTCATGAATATATTGGACACGTGGAACAGTAATGACCAAAAACGAGATGAGTTGTGGGATGATATCAAGGACATCATACATAAAGGCAAAATGTCATTAAAAACACAGGAAAGAAATGACCATAATGGATGTCAGAAGAGACTCTGAAACTTGTGCTTGAATGTAGGATAGCTAAAGCAAAAGGAAGAAATGATGATGTCAAAAACCTGAACAGAAGATTTCAAAGGGCAGCTCGAGAAGACAAAGTATTAAAATGAAATGTGCAAAGTTAGAAAACCATAAGGGAAGAACAGGCTCAGCATTTTCTCAAGCTGACAGAACTGAAAAAACTCAAGCTTCAAGTTGCAATAGTGAAGGATTCTGTGGGCAAAACGTGGAATGATTCAGGAGGCATCAAACGAAGATGGAAGGAATACACAGAGTAACTGTACCAGAAAGAATTGGTCAAAGTTCAGCCATTTCAGAAAGTAGCGTATGATCAGGAAATGATGGTACTGAAGGAAAAAGTCCATGTTGCACTGAAGGCATTGGCGAAAAACAAGGCTTCAGGAATTGATGGAATACCAGTTCTTGAGATGTTTCAACAAACGGATGCAATGTCGGAAGCACTCACTCATCTGTGCTAAGAAATTTGGAAGACAGCTACCTGGCCAACCCACTGGAAGAGATCCATATACTTACCCCTTCCAAAGGTGGTCCAGCGGAATATGGAAATTAACGAACATCATCATTAATATCGTGCACAAGTAAAATTTTGCTGAAGATAATTAAAAAACCGGTTGTAGCAATACAGCAACAGGGGTCTGCCAGAATTTCAAGCCAGATTCAGAAGAGGCTCTGGAACAAAGGATATCATTGCGGATGTCAGATGGATCTTCGCTGAAAGCAGAGAATACCAGAAAAATGTTTATCTATGTTTTATTGACTGCAAAGATTTGTACACAAAAAGAAACAATCTTTGATGGTTATGAAGGAAGGAGAGGTGGGGATGGAAAAACAAGGATGTAATCTTGAAGGAAGCAGACTGCCACATATTTCTCCACAGAGTGGCTGGTGGATTCAAAGGGCCGACTTTTTGGTTAACAGCCGAACACTTAACCATTGTGCCACCAGGGATCCTTTAGTTTTCTCAAGTAAGGTATAATTCTTGGGTGAATCCAGGAGAGTAGAAAAAGGAGTATAGTCACTCATTACAGTTAAGAAAGGAGAGTTAGTTCTAAACATCTCTGCTACTGAAAGTTATAGATGGGGTAATAATCTAGATTACTTTTTTCCGTTTGTCAAAATCAAAGAGAACGTAGTATTTTCAGAATTCACTAAATTTTTTACTTTAAAGAATTTTAGACCTGGAAGAGATTTTTGAGGTTTCCTTATGTAGAAGATAAGACCTTGATGTCTCTATCTCCTATTTAAGTGAGTTCTTTATTTTGAATAAGCTGTAGTGATTCTTTATGACAGGTATGAGTGGGTGTTTGAGAGTTTTTGTCCTTCAGTTCACTAAACTACATCTTGTATTGTTTGCCTTATGACCTGTCATCGAGCATGTATTTTTTATCACGTCCGAGGTAGAAGCAGAAAATTGTCTTGTTGACAGTTCATATAAAAGGGATGTAAGTTCTACTAAAATTAATGGAAGAGATGCTTCTAAAACATTTTTGTTTTGCTTTTAATCTTATTAATTGCATATAGCTCTGGAGTAACTTAACAATTTATATTAACAAATTTATAATGTCTAGTCTGTAGCTGGTAGTTACCCACTGAATCAAAGGCCAAGAAAGCAAAAACTAAGTAACAATTTGTTAAAGAGAATGGTCATTTCTACCTTTTAGTATGTATGTATCTTGAAAAGGTATCAATCTGTAACATTAAGGAAGTAGATGGTTGTTCTTTTAAAAGTGAGATAATCATTTTAGAATATGTTCACAGTAGACTTTATCAGAGGAGTCAAACTGAAATCAAGTTCAGGAAAGGCTATGGATCGTAAGAATTTGTAGTGCCGGTTATGTATTTCCCTTTTTGTTTGTTAATAGCTTGAAGTTCAAATAAGGAGTGTTATAGCTAAAGACATTAGAGGTCAGAGCTAGAAAGTTAAGAGTCTGTGTAATTTGAAACCATTGCCCTGACCTTTCATCCTGGAACCAAGAGCCTTCCAAAGTATCGTTTAGGAATCTGACTTTTTGCATTAACTATAACCTGAACCATGCCAAGGCAACAATGAGTCATCAATGGGGAATTGTTGTTCTCAGAGTTGTTGGTTGTTTTAACTGTTCCATATTGTACCCTATCTGCCATGTAGCTAAATCTGCCCATTTGCTTCTTTCATTCTTGAGATATCTGCAAGGTCAAGATCCAGGGGCTGTAGTGGGAGTAGGGCAAGTGTATTTGTCCACATCTGGATGGAGGATGAGAACATGTACTGAGTATTACCATTTAGGGGCCAATAAAAAGGATATATACCAAGACTACCTCAGGGACAAAAATTTAGTTGTATATTTTATCCAGAGAGACAACATTAAGTTGTATTGTCACCATCCAGTGGTATGTGGTTACCATATGGTTTACGAAGATGCAAACCACTTTTTGGCAACCTTACTTGGATTTCTTTCTGTTAATCACTTTCTAGGAAAAAATAGTCCCTATGCAGAACTGGATGACTTGTGTTCATAGTGCTAAACTTTACCACACCCTGACTGTCCTATTCCTTTTAGCAGGTGTTTGTCTCTAACTTACAAATCAATCATCCCTATGTTGCTCAAGCACCTGCCAGGCATCAGTCTACATGTGTTTGCACTTCACCATTAAAACATTTCTTTTTACCACTTTTTTTCCTTTTTACTCATGAAGAAACACATCTCGAGCGGTTCAGTAACGTTTTCAAGCATACCGGTGTTACATGGCAGAGCCCTGGTTCAGATCTAGGTCCAATTTCAGCACCCATGCTTTGTACCATTGCAGTTAGCTGTTGTGGTATGCACATTTCTCTCTGCCTTTATGCATGCTCACAGTTCTATGAAGATGCCAAGCCCATCCCCACCTGTGGGCTTCTTCCTTTCCTTGGAATGCTTGCCTCATCTTTCTCATCTCATGTTTTATCTTAAATGTTATTTATTTAGGGAGACTTCCCTGGTCACATGCTCTGCAAAAGCCACCTACCCAAGTCCCTCTCTAATATATTACTTTGTTTTCATTCTCTCTACAGCATTTTTCAAGATCTGATATCTTTTTGTTTATTTATTTTCTGTTCTGTCCCCTGCCACTTGTAATAGAATGTAAACTCCATAAGGGCAGGGACCTTTTCTTGTTTATCATTATATCCTTAGCATCTGGAAAATGGCTAGCACATAGTAGACACTTTATAAAATTTAGTTGACTTATCAAATGCTAGTCCTTTATTGCCTGTTAAAATAAGACTCATCTTTTTTTTTTTTTTTAACTTTTTTTTTTATTGTACTTAGGTGAAAGTTTACAGAACAAATAGTTTCTTGTTAAAAACAGTACACATACTGTTTTATGACATTGGTTAACAACCCCATGGCATGTCAACACTCTCCCTTCTTGACCTTGGGTTCCCTATTACCAGCTTTCCTGTCGCTTGCTGCCTTCTAGTCCTTGTCCCTGGGCTGTTGTGCCCCATTAATCACATTTTGTTTAATGGGCCAGTCTAATCTTTGGCTGAAGGATGAACGTCGGGAGTGACTTCATTACTGAGTTATAAGGGTGTCTGGGGACCATACTCTTCAGCATTTCTCCAGTCTCTGTCAGGACAGTAAGTCTGGTCTTTTTGTGAGTTAGAATTTTGTTCTGCATTTTTCTCCAGCTCTGTCTAGGACCCTCTGTTGTGATCCCTGTCAGAGCAGTCAGTACTGGTAGCCGGGCACCATCTAGTTGTACTGGACTCAGTCTGGTGGAGGCTGTGGTAGTTGTGGTCCGTTAGTCCTTTGGACTAATCTTTCCCTTGTGTCTTGTTTTCTTCATTCTCCCTTGCTCCTGAAGGGGTGAGACCAGTGGAGTATCTTAGATGGCTGCTCACAGGCTTTTAAGATCC